AGGGTGGCCACGTCTTCTCGGGCTGTGGCTAGGGCTCCCCCTGAGGGGCGTCGGGCGATGGCCCCCGAGCCGCGGGGCCAGGGCCGCTTCTGGGATGGTGGTGGTGGCGGCGGCGGCGGAGACCGGCTGTCTATAAGAACATCAGCTAGTTCGCAGTAGCCTGGCTTCCCTCCAAGTTCTCAGGACCCAGAGTGCTCCTGATTTCTCCCTGGAACAGAGGTGAATTTTGTTTCCTATTTGGGAGATCCTGGTATCCATTCATCCTGATGTTCAGGTCAGCCTCCCTGGATTACCCAGCTCCCAGTGGGCTCATATATTATACTTTCCATCATTAGTAGATGTGTTAGTTTTATGACCATAAATCTTCCTTTAGCACATGGATATAAACAGGAGCTCTGCAAAATGCAGATATAAAGTGTCTTCCCACTTGTCAAACACGATAGCCTTTATTTAAGTGGGAATATTCCATTATCTTAGAAGATTTCTAGGTAGCGGTTAATAGGGACTGAGAATGAAGGAGCTGCCATTCCATGGCTTTTCAGAGACAGCCACAGGTGTTACATCTATCCTACTAGCAGCATTTATCAATATCAGGACTAGGAAGTCAGGTTTGTTTCCCATATTGATAATTGAGGATTATAAAGCTATCCTTGAAGTTCTCTAATGCAAGAGGTTACATTAAAAAAATCCATTTGATACGTGTCGCTCAGTAGCTGGATATCACTTACCTTTAGCTGCAAAGTAGGCTTGCCCTCTGTTTCTGTGCAGAAAAGACTGAAGTTTTTGTCCTTGATTCCCAGGTAAACCAGATTGCCTTTCTCCTTATTACTGAGCTCTGAGTGTCTACATGGTATGAGGGCAAGAATAACTGGAAGTACAATGAAAATGAACATGTCAAGCTCCAAGCAGAGGGAAGGCGGTACTCTAACCTCACATTCTGCTATAAGAATAAACCTTATTCTTCTAAGCCAGGGGATTCCTAGCACACAGGGGATCTCTCTAGAAGCTACATGGCAGAGGCACTTGGTTGTGAAAGCCCATTTCCTTTTCCTTCCTCAACATCAGAACCATGATTGTCAGTAGGAAACATTACTTCCCAAACATAAAACTGAGATATACTACCAACTTTGCAGGTAATGCACTTAAACTGTGACCCAGGCGATGAGGCATGAGTAGAAGCATTGGGTAGGATTTCTAAAAGTATTTTCTAAGTAATGTTATGAGAAAGTATTTCATAAAAATAAATGCACAAGAGGAGCCAGTGAACCACACAAAAATAAAAAGGGAAGTGTTGAAAAAGGGAACTTATTAGTCATGTAGTATAAATAAATAGACAAGAGACATGTGCTTTGAGTTTGGACCTTCAAACCTAGTTTGGGAAGTGGAGTGAAGAGCAGTCTATAGATTAGATTGCTTTGATATAAACATGACTAGGAAGTAGACACAAGTTGTGTGGGCAACTCTCTTGTGAAACGTGGATGAAATTCAGCTATGACAGGCACACTAAAATAGAATGGTACTGAGAATACACTGCGAGAATCAAGAGAAGTTTGTAGTAGTAAGGTTGAAGATATTATGCTGGAGCGTGTCTGTCAGTGCTAGGAAACACTCAGTAGATCAAGGTGAAATATGTAGCTAAGAGACGAACCAGATCAATGTGGAGGTGAAGAATGAGAAAGAAACAGAGAGAGAACATGTAATATTAGGAGAGAAGATGGCAAGTCAGGTGAGTGTGTAATTTGATGGTAGAGATGAGGGAGCTTGAATCTAAGGATATAGGTCTTAAGTGTTGGATTTCAAAGGTGAGAAACTCCAAAGAAGTCATCCATTGCTTGAAAAGACAATCTTTTTGTACAGGAAGGTGCATTCTTTTGGTAAGGGAAGGTGTCATTCCCCCCCCCAATCTTGTGTTTAGGCACAGGTTTTGCTTTGTGGAAGGGAGTCATCTTGGCCTTTTCGTATTTATTTGGATATTAATTGGTATCCAGAAGTTGGTGAGGATCATGTAGGCTTAATTCTATCCCCAGAGGAATTGAAAGTGACTTCAAGGGCAACAGTGGCTCCAGTGTCACTCACCAGGCTCGACATTATTGCTAGATGGTGCTGTTATTAATACATTTCCCCTCAGGATCCATACCATCTGTTGAGAATCTCTAATGTCATAATATGTGGGAGTGTCTCGAACTGTCAGGTAAACAAAAACCAAGTCACAAGCAGTCTTATAATTAACTTTCAAACTTTTAGCTTTAAGTTCTTTGGGTAGGGTTATTGTTCTAAGAAAGTTTGGGTAGGAGGAGAAAGAAAGGGCAACGAGACAAGACTGATTTGTAGATGAAAACCCTAGAAAGGATCCAAACACATTCATTGTTCCAAGAGATTTTCAAGATCTGATTTTTTTTCAAGTTTTCTTTTCCTGCTTGATGGTCTCTGTGTAGTGACAAAAGCAAAACTATTTAAATTGGTCACCAGTATATTGGGTTGGTTTTTTAACCTTCTTAATGAGAGAAACAAGCAATTCTAAATGCAGATAATGACCAAATAATTAAATGTCCTATGGTTTTCTAGCATGTATTTCAGAGGACTCTAGCCAAGGCTAATATACTTCTAACAGGTGAAATGGGACCCTCGTACCATACTGAGTTTGGTAGAACTTCTGTGATTCGCCACTTACGATGATTGTGAGGATTCATTTAACTTCAGAGCTTTCTATGAAGAGAGCAAAGTGTGCCAAAGGAGCTGAAGAGGAGCTTATCAGGAGCTGTTCATGCAGAGAAGGAAAACATGTTATCTGTTTATCCCTTCTTCCTCTGGGATTTTGTTTCAAAACTTTAGAGTAAGCGTCCTTGAGTCCCTGTTTTATTTGCAAATGTTTAAAATTTCCTTTTTTAAAATAAAATAGAAAACTGGTTATACAGATAAATGTGTTTCATTCTGGCAGATTGGTGAAAACACATACTTTAACTAAGTTCCCTCCATCTGGTCTGCTCTCTACACTAGTTTTACAGTGCCTGGAAGGCTCAATGTATGCCACTGATTTGACTCATGTCCACCCCCTAATCTCTCACCTTACACCCCCTCTCATTGTGTTCCTCTTGCCTAACAATAGGCTCAAAAGTAGATTTTAGAGGAAAGATGGGAAGAGCATGTTTCAAGGTTGGCAAATCTGGAAAGGAATGGAATGGAATGGAATGGACTGGACTGGACTGGACTGGACTGGACTGGACTGGATTGGAATGGAATGGAATGCATTAGAATGCATTGGAAGCTCCCATCCTGAAGGAGGTCAGGGTGGTCCTGGTTCTCCAGGCTGTGATGACCTTGGGATTCCATTCATCACTGCATCTGAAAGGTAAAGAGGTTCCATAGCATCCCCCAGGGCAGCCAGAACAGTAAGCTGTCACATTCCAAGGAAAGGAAGGCATGTGTCCTGTCACTATTCTGGCCCTTCCCACAGTTGGTAAGTTGCTTTTCCAAATGTGTGTGTGTTTTTTTTTTTTTTTTTTCAGAGCTAGCAAGTGAACTCAGGCCCTTGCACTTGCCAAGAAAGTGCTTATTCCACTGAGCCATCTCCCCGGCCCCTGCTTTTCCAAATGTTAGGCAGATACTCTTATATAACTGACAGAAAATCTGCCTGTGGCCTACATCTCCAAACAAAGAAGCGGCTCTGAAGATCCTGTACATGGCAATCTCCAGCCTCATCAGGTTTTTCCACAATCCAAGGACATCTGGATTTCTAGATAAAGGCACCAGTTTAGACCCCTATGAAAATTACAGACTTCAGTCATAACCCATTGGTCACAATCCTCCCTACTTCAGGGTTTCCTGAATCAAGGGCTATCTCTGAATAATGAATAAACAAATTATCACCTAGAATTCTTTGAAAAAGTTCCATGTACTTTGGACCAAGGACCAAAGATCTACTTCAAGCCAAAATGTACATGCAGTAGTGAAAGAAGGTCCCCCCCCCCAGCTTCTGAGCAGCAGTAGGTACCTGTCTCCTGAAGTCTTCTATTTCCTGGGTTCAGAAACTCAGCTCCAGCAGCACCTCAGGGCCCTGGGAAGCTGGCCTAGGACTCCTTGGCTTAAAAGGGCAAGGAAGGAGCCTTACATCCTGGCCCTGGGTGTGCCTGCTGTATCAGGAAGTGGGGCTGGCCAGAGGTGCTACAAGGTTTTGGATAAGTGGCAGGAAGTACCTCAGGTGTGGCTGCTCTGGGCTCCTGGAGAAGCAAGAGCAGAGCAAACACCAGGAGACCATAGTGAGGCCATATGCTGAGCTAGAGAGGAATTGGATGCAGAGGTGTGGCTCACTTGACTCACTGACTGATTAGGGGACATTTGCAGCCTGTTTATATCCACCTCTGGCAAATCACAGCATTCATCTCAGGTGTTTTACATATTGTGTCTGCAATTCATGTAAACTCATATTGCACAAGTGTACAGACCTCATTACTGTTTCTGACAAGGTTCTAAGAGCTTTACCTGATTAATATTTTAATCCTGAAGGGCCCACTGTTATTTACTTCTTGCAGAAGAGAATAGAGGCCCTGAGAGATAGAGAAGGTTACTCAGTCGCTCAGCTTCTAGAAAACCTAGTGAAGCATGTGGTCAGTTGTCTCCACTTTTGGCTGCCATGTGATGAACTTGTTCTGGGGTTTGGTACCTGGTATCCCACTCTGTAACCAGCTCCCTATACCTCCCATGGCCTTGTTTTGAGGCAAAGCGAGTTGAAGCTAACAAAATGGCACTTGGTAAGCAATGGGGAATGACACAGCATATGTTTAACAGAAAGAATAGAAAGAGCTCCATGATGGGTGGGCAGAGGTTCCATAAGGTGACACCATAGATATTTATGCCCATTCTCTGACTTTTTAATACTTTTTAAATTAAAAATTAGCCTTTATATAAAATACCACATCTTTTTCATCCATTCCTCAGGTGATGGGCATCTTGGTTTGTCATAACATGCCAGTTGCTGCTGTGCTGTCTCTCGGGTAGATGATTGTTCAAAATGAAGGGGGTGGTGAATGAAGGCAGGAGACAGGAAAAGAGATGTTGTGGGACTATTCTGCTTCAAGGTTGTATAAATGTAAGAATTATATACTTCTTTATGCCTATTTTTAAAATATATCCTGGTTTTTAAATGTTTTTCATCATATTCTGTAGGGACTTAAATTCAACATATCAATACTTGATAAAAAATACCTGTTCCATGTTATGACTAAGATGTTTGATATTCAGACAGATAGTGAGGTTAAGCTTAACAGTCTAGGTTGTATGGTAATAACAATAAACTTCTCTTCTGGAGGGTTAACAACCTAAGCTTGCAGACCAAAATTAGAGAAAAAGGAGGGTCTCAAGGAAAGCCAACATTTTGGCCCTAGCCTTCCAAGGTCAATTAAAACTCAGGAAATATGAGAACTTGTACTGTAACATCACGTAACTCAGTAGTGTCCCAAATTTTCTGATCAAGGAGATTATGGGGCCAAAGAGGAAAGTGATCGGTGATGTAGAGTGTGCCTAAGGAGAGTCACATGGAGAGAAAACATTCTCTCAGGCTCTCACAGAGAGCACATTGGCCAAGCAATGGCCGTGACTCATCCACATGGCTGACACTGACAAAGGTTCTACAATCTGAGGTACAGGATCTCAGGATAAATCCTGGGGGATCACTGACCTTATCAGACCCAAAAGCTACAACTCTTATTGCATAGGTCTTGCTTTATCTTGGCCTTAAAAGTACAGAAAAGTATAAAAACGAAATATAAGAAGTAAAGCCATGCTGTTAAGTTGAGCTGTGGGGGACTCAGGTCAACAATTTCTGACATTGCCAGTGAAACAGAAGACCCAATACTATTATGGACTACTGGACTCTTTTAGAATATTTTGCTGAGTTAACACACCTATAATATTCAAATAACAGAACTAAACAAAAAAAGGGGATACAGATGAATGTCCGTTTTGTATCTGTGTATTCAAAATGGTTAGAATAGATATATAGTTACATTCTCTTAATGAATAGAGGGATTTGTTCTAATAGTGTTTGTAAATAAGATATCAGGTTTGCATCTTGTACAGCAAATAACCACTAGGAAGAATGTGTGCAATGTGTTAATTATTGAAACTGTCCTACCAATTAGGTTTGAAACTGTCTCATTGCTATTTGTTTCTCAATAAAATTATGGGAAAAAATAAACATGAGTCTTTAATATTAATGGGAATACTGGTCAGGAGTCTACAGAAGGCAGGTTATGAGGCTCCACGTTAGAAATCTGTCCTAGTGAATTCACTTCTTCTTCCCCTTTGTAGACGTGGTAAATAACACTGGGTGGATCCGCGCCCTCACCAGGCGTCTGACAGAGAAGAACCTGGCTGTGAGCTCCTGCAGCATGCTTCCGCGCTTCAGGGCCAGGGCTGCCAGCGAGTACTTCAGCTTCTCCAAGGCCAGCAGCTCCAGTTCGGCTGCAGAGCTGAACAGCAGCAAATGCAGACCTTCCTCACCGAGACCTGTGTTTCCAGATGGTGTATCTTCCACTTTTGCAGAGGGGTTGTCCCCCTATCTTCTCCAGGAGCCATCTGGGCTCTTTTCCCGTCAATCACTTCTTTTCTCTCTTTATCCTTACATAGTCCAGTCCTAGATGCTACCTTTTCTATGGGTTCTTGGTACTCTGCCTTCTTTCCCTTCAGCGTCTCCCCTGTTCCTCTAACCATCTTGTCTTGTGCTCCTCAGCAATGTCTCTATCCCAGTTCAGCACTTGAATCTTCTGGGCCTTGCTGTTTTTCTGATGACTCAGAGTCTGAGCTCAGTTCTCTTGCCCATTGAGCACTGTTGGAGCATTCAGCTGCCACCTCAGCAGGATCCCTGCTGCTTTTTGGAGTGGAGAAGTTCATTCCTGAAGTACTAGGTGCTTCTCCACCATCATCATCAGAACTCACGGAGCTGGACCCCCAGAAGTTTCCAGTCCTTCCATGCCCAACCAAAAGCATTTCCTTGTCTTCGCACTGACTCCTTGGTCTGTCTGAGATTTGTTAGGCCATTTTCGATTCCCACTGACTTTTGCTGATACCCTCTTGCTGGAGGATGCTTCTATACCTTTCAGCACAGAATCCTCCAGAGCCACCTCATGGCGCTGCTGCTGGGATTCAGCACTGGTAAAGCGGCGCTTGGTCTCTGTGAGCTTCCACTGCAGTCGCCCCAGGTGCCTTTGCTCTTTCTCAGCGTTCCGCCCAGGTTGTTGTTTTACCCATTCAGCCTTTGCTTTTTCATGATTGACATCTCGCAATCTCCTTCCACTGAGGTCCTGGTAAGCTTCCCGATTGGTTGGTTTCTCAATCGAGCATCAAATGCTCCGAACACAGATCCAAAACCTCCATTTCCCACCACAAATTCTAGATTCTACACTATAAACAGCTCTATGCTGCACTGGGCCACTGATGTTAAAGAGGGTTTCTTTCACAAAGAAGCATTCCAAAGGCACGTCTAGATGCTGGAAGTGTAGATGGATAATACCTCGTACTGAGCACCAAGCTGGGGTCCAGTGTAACTCCTAGTGCACCCTCGCCCCCGCCATTTCACCCACCCTGGAACCTAAAGCAAACTTTTCAGACAGTTTTGATGGGAGTGGATGTGACAATACTGGCTTACTCCTGGTTGCAGGGAGACCTTTGAGGTCTGGAAAGCAAACTGTGTTGTTTGCATTTCATTTCCTCCGAGTTCTCTCCCTTTTGTTTAGAGACCTGGTCTTTCTCTCTTGCATTCGTTAGGCCCTGGTAGTCATTTTGCTTCAGTGAGTTATTTGGGTCCTCTGATAGGTTAAATTCCTTAAGCCCTGAATTTTAGTTTGCTGTAAGTCAACAGCTCAGGACGTGGGCCCTGTCTGCCTCACTTTCCCTACCTCTGTGTTTCATTGAATCCTCTGCAATAGTGACACTGACTATTGGGATGCATGGGAATGAAGTGTCTCCTGAGCTACTTCTGCTCAGCAGGGATGGTACTGCAGAGCAGCAGCCAGGGCTTAGCACCGGGAGGTCTACATATGTGGCCTGGACAGAAGCTGGGAAGCATTCCTGTTCAGAGTCTGTGTGCATCAGCATTTTCTCTATGAAAAGGGCATCCCTGCTGCTTGCTGAGTGCTGTTTTATCAATTTCAAATGTCTTTTTTTCCGCATAAAAATAACATGAGAGCTGCGGGGATCTGGATACAGTGTGACATACCAGAGCCCAAACCCCAGAACAAGTTTGTCATGCAGCAGCTAACACTGGAGACTCTTGACCACCAGCCTGACTCAGTGTCCTAGAAACTGAATGAGTGAGTGAGCTTCTTTATCTCTCAGGGCCTCTGTCCTTCCTGTAAGAAATAAAGAGCGTCTCTATGAAAGGCACAGGTGGTAGGGTGTTGATGGGCTGGCCATTTATCTCTTCCTTATGACCAGTGCTCACGGCATTGCTCAGAAATGAATGTTTGCAAGCGCAGCCTAGGATTGCAATGTGCTTTTGGGGTCCACAAATTCATAATGGCTAGTTTCATTATACTTCACTAAAGCAATAAACAGAGCCTTGGGATTTTTGTTATCACCCTTTTGAGATTTCCCATGATATCAGTCGGGGGGAGGGGGCTGTCTTCTCCCACCTACTGAGACTAAGTCTACGACTACTAAGACTGAGGTCTCCCCAAGGCAAGATACTGATTAGGTCAAAATCTCCACTACCCTCTGAATCATCATTAATAATTCCAGCCCCATTTTATGCCATCAATAAACACTAAGGTTCTGGCTGCCTTATGGCCCTTTGTTCCCTGTGCTGGTCATCCCAGGTCTGCCATACACTGCCGTTTTCCCTCCTGTTCCTTCTTCCTGCCATGCACCATATCACCTGGCAGAGGATTGGAACCCACTGTAGGGGTTTTTGATAATTTGCTTCTAAACAACACTTTCCATTCTTTCTCTCCATTCCACTATTCGTAGAACTCACATTTATCAAAGCTTTGCCGCCAAGCAATGGCCATGACTCATCCACATGGCTGACACTGACAAAGGTTCTACAATCTGAGGTACAGGATCTCAGGATAAATCCTGGGGGATTTCACTGATCTTATCAGACCCAAAAGCTACAACTCTTGTTGCATAGGTCTTGCTTTATCTTGGCCTTAAAAGTATAGAAAAGTATAAAAACGAAGTATAAGAAGTAAAGCCATGCTGGGGAGATGGCTCAGTGGAATAAGCGCTTCC